TTGATTTATAGTTTTATAAAAAAAAAGTAAGAGAAGATAATTGATATATTTTCAATTTTTTAAATATTTTAAGACTTAAAAAAAAGCTTAATATATGGTCTATATGAAAGTAATCCATGTGGTGAGGGGAAGAATGAAAAAAAAGCAGCCACTGAATGAAATGTTCTATAAATATCGGTTATGTTCATTTGGTATAAAAAAAAGATGAAGTTAAATGTTTCTTTGTGGGTATTCTGCCTGAATGATCTGTCTGATGCTAAAAGAAGAGTGTTAAAATCTCCAGTTATTATTGTACTTAGGTCTGTCTCTTCCTAAAAAAAAAATAATATTTGCTTTATGTATCTGTGTGCTCCAGTGTTGGATGCATAAATGTTTGTACCTGGTATATCCTGTTGTTGAATTGAACCATTTGCATTATGTAATAACCTTCTAAAAAAAATTTTAAAATATTTTGTCTTGAAATTTCTTTTGTTTGTATGGCTACTCCTTTTCCTTTTTGGTTTCCATTTGCATGGAAAATCTTTTTCCATCCCTTTATTTTCACTCCATATGTGTCTTTTTAGGTGAAGTGCATTTCTTGTAGGTAACAGATCATTGGGTCTTTCTTTATTTATCTATTCAGCCACTCTATGTCTTTTAATTTGAGAGTGTAGTCTGTTTACATTCTAAAAAAAAATTGATAAATAAGGACTTACACCTGTCATTTTGTTATTTGTTTTCCTGTCTGCTATTTCTTCTTTCCCTTCTTTCTGTCTTCCTTTTAGTGAAGGTCATTTTCTCTGGTTGTATGTTTTAATTTCTTGCTTTTGAATTTTTTAATCTATTGTGTTTTTTTATTTGAATTTACCAGGAGTCACTGAAATACTATCTTATTGCCAATTATTTTAAACTGATAACAACTTAAAAAAAAATGTATATACAACAAACAAACACATATGCAAAAAGAACACTAGTAAAAATTCAAAAAAAAAACTCTTCCCTCACTTTTTAATTTTTTGTTATTTCTCTTTATTTCTTATTTAAAAAAAACTTGAAGTTGTTGTCGTTATTATTTTTTATTGGTTCATCATTTAGACTTTCAAAAAAAAACAAGAATAGTTTACATACCACCACTACAGTGTTACGCTATTCTATGTTTTTCTGTATGCTTACTATACCAGTGAGTTTTGTACCTTCGGATGATTTCCCCTTGCTCATTAACATCCTTTTCTTTCAGATTAAATAACTCCCTTTAACATTTCTGGTGGTACAGGTCTCGCGTTGATGAAATCTTTCAGCTGTTGTTTGTCTAGGAAGGTCTTTATTTCGTCTTCATGCTTGAAGGATACATTCTCCAGATATACTATTCTAGGGTAAAGGTATTGTTCCTTCAGCAAAAAAAAAATGTCGTGCCATTCTCTCCTGGCCTGTAAGGTTTCCACTGAAAAGTCTGCTGTCAGGCACATTGGAATTCTATGTATGCTATTTGTTTCTTTCCTCTTACTGCTTTGAGGATCCTTTTTAAATCCTTGACCTTTAGGAGTTTGATTATTAAAGGTCTTAAGATAGTCTTAAAAAAAATAAATCTGCTTGATGTTCTATAACTTTCTTATACCTCAATATTGATATGTTTCTCTAGGTTTGGGATGTTCTCTGTTACTCTCTTTGAAAATACTTTCTATGCCTACCTCTCTGTTTACCTCCTCTTTAAGGCCAATAACTTATAAGTTTGCCCTTTTGAAGCTATTTTCTAGATCTTGTAATTACTTCATTCATTTTTATTCTTTCTTACTTTGTCTTCTCTGTGTATTTTCAAATAGCTTGTCTTCAAGTTCATTGCTTCTTTCTTCTGCTTGATTGATACTGCTAAAAAAAAACTCATGCATTTTTTAGTATGTCAGTCAGATTTTTTAACTCTAGAATGTCTTCTTGATTTTTTAAAATTATTTCAATCTCTTTGTCAAATGTATCTGATGGATTATGATTTGCTTGTTTGTGTTATCTTGACTTTCATTAAGTTTCCTCAAAACAGATATGTTGAATTCTCTGTCTGAAAGGTCATACATCTCTGTTTCTCCAGGAATGGTCTCTGGTGCCTTATTTGGTTTATTAGGGGAGGTTATGTTTTCCTGGATGGTTATGATGCTTGTAGTTGTTCATCAGAAAAAAAACATTGAACAGATAGATATTAATTGTAGTCTTTATTGTCTGGACCTGGTTTCAAAAAAAACTTCTTAGGAAGGCTTTCCAGGTATTTGAGACAACTTGGGTTTTGTAATCTATGTTTTGGTTCACTGCAGCCATTTTTGCATTAGAGAGCACCCCTAGCCCAGTAATGCTAAAAAAAATTAGAGTTGTAGAGGAACTGCCTTGGTGGTCCTGGATAAGATCCAGAAGAATCTGTAGATTATCCTGCACTGACTTTTGTTGCCTTCCCTTAATTTCTCCCAAACAAACAAAAAAAAACTCTCTCTCTCTCTTTCTGTGCTGAACTGCCTAGAGATTGGAGCAAGGTGATGCAAGCACCCCTATAGCCGCCACCACTGGGACTGTACTGAGTCAGACCTAAAACAAGCGTGGCACTAGATGTCACCTAAGGCCTGCAGTAACCACTGCCTGGCTGCCAACTACATTCAAAAAAAACCCTAGGGCTCTGTAATTGGCAGATAGCAAAGCCAGCAAGGCTTGTGTCCTTCCTTTTAGGTCAGCAAGTCCCCCCATCCCCAGATGGGTTCAGAGATGCAGTCTGGGAAAAAAAAAATGGAGTCAAAAAACTTACGAATCTACTTGGTGCTGTATTCCACTGTGGCTGAAAAAAAACTTAAGCGAGAAGACAAAGTCCTTCCAACTCTTCCTTCCCGTTTTCACAAGCAGAGGAATTTCTTCTTGTAGCCACTACCATGCCAAGTCTGTTGTGAGTATTGCCTGGGAAAAAAAAATGTTCAGTCAAGGACCAAAGACTCCTCAGTTAGCATGTGGTGAATGCTGTAAAAAAAAAGACTCTCACTACAGGTCAGCGGGCTCGCTTTTGGCCCAGAACAGGTCCAGAAATGTTGGTAACAAGCTAAGGCCTGGAGTCAGGACCCCAAGAATCTGCTTTAGTGCTCAAAAAAAACGTGGCTGAGCTCCTTAACCTAAGGTACCTGACAAAGTCCACTTTACTCTTAAAAAAAATTTTCTCAAGCAGATTGAGTCTCTTCCTTTAGCCACCACAGGTGAGAATGTAAAAAAAATCGCCTGAAACCAGCACATCTCTGAGTCTCACCCAAGGCCCATGGCAAGTGCTGCCTGGCTATCACTGTTGACTATTTAGGGCCCAGGGGCCTCTTTAGATAGCAGGGGCTGAATCCTGTCAGGACTGGGTCCTCTTCAAGAAGGTGGTTTTGCATGTGGCCCAAGCTGTTTCTAGAAATGTCCATGAGCTGGGATCTAGAATGGAGGCCTGCTGGATGCCCTCTTTTAAAAAAAATGAGCTAGTATCCAAGTTGTAAGACCAAGTCCTCTTTGCTTTTCCCTGTCCAAAAAAAAGCCAAAAGAAGTAGTGTCTCCCAGAGCTGTGAGCTGCATCGCCTGGGATTGAAAAAAAATGCCATAAGCATTCCTTTGGCTGCCCCAGGTCACAGACCCCACAAATCCACTGGCTCCAAGCCCAGCACAGCACCAGGACTTGAACAGGAATTGCAGTCCTTGTGGCCTAAAAAAAAATTCAAATTTATTTAGGATCCCAGAGGCCTTTATCTCATAGTAGCAAGACTCAAAAAAAAACCACTGGGATGGACGATTCCCCTCTTGCTAGGGTTACTCTAAATGCCCCTTCTCTGGGCACTGACTGAGTTCTGACTGGTGTCACTTTTTGCTTTGACAGGGCAGCACTAAAAAAAAATGGAAGGTTCCACAATTGCTGTGCTGTCTCTTCCCCAATCACACAGAATTAAAAAAAATGTCATGGGGCCACTGCTGGGAGATCAGAGAAGGGTGGCATCAGCTCTTCAAAAAAAAAATTCCTACCCTTCTCAGTGCTTCCTCCAATGATAGAAAGTGAAAAACAGTTAAAAAAAAGTGATCACTCCTGGGGTCATGGAGACTGCATCTCCACAGAAAATTTTAAAAGTAGCTGGGCATGGTGCAGGCCTGTAATTCCAGCTATTTGGGAGGCTGAAGAGAGAGAATCTCCCCAGCCCGGGAGATCGAGGCTGCAGTAAGCCATGATTGTGCCACTGCACTCCAGAAAAAAAAATAGAGCAAGACCCTATCTCAACAAGAAACAACAAACGAAACAAACAAAAAAAAAAAAATCAAGAATGGGCTAAAACCCACCTAGTGTATGCTATTCTGTTGTTGCTGCCAAAAAAAACTGAGACAGTATGTTTGAAAGCTGACTTGTGTAATTCCCTAACATTCACTCAAAAAAAACACCAATATTGATTAGTTCCAAGGCAAACTTGGGCCCAGCTGTGCATCCTCAAAAAAAAGTTCTGCCACCTCATCAGCTACCATGGAGCAGGCTTGGCTCAATGTATAGAAAATGGCAACTTGACCTCTCAACTTCTTGTCATTCCCTTTTCCCCATATTATAATCTCCAAAAAAAAGTTTAGAAATCAAAAATCAGAAAAGCAAATGTGTTCAGAAACCTCCTATATTTCTGTAGTACCCACCTATCTTGGCACAACAGAGCATGGGGTTGCCTTTGTCTGCGTTTTCTGCAATGGTGGCCATAGGGAATCTTAACAAAGTTAACTTGGCGAATGCTTGCTGACAAAAAAAAAACTCTGAAAATGGATTAAAAAGTATACTGTTAATCTGTCAGCTGTTTATCTATGAGACAATGAGAGTAATCTGGGGATTAGAGGCCTTTTGATATGGAGCGTCTCATTTTAAAAAAAATTTTTTCAGCATTTGTGTACTATTATCCTATTTACTAAAGAGCAAATCACCAAAAAAAAGCATTGGTGTTAAGTGCTAAAAGCACAACCAGAAAGTGAATGAGTGTAGCAAAAAAAAACCAGAAAGAAACAAATACCATAGGCATCCCAGTTACTTTTTGGTTTTTGACTAAATGGTAGGTTTCTGTGCAGATTATGATGTGCATCTGGACAGCCACAGACCTTACTGAAAAAAAATAGACCTGCCAGCATGGAGAAAAATAAGGACTTTCAAAAGCGGAAATAATAAAAAAAAATTCCCATTTATCTTCAACTGTGATAGAAAGGGAGGCTGCTAAAATTGCAAGCAACAACAGTAATGTGAAAAATACTTATCCTCTACATAATCTGTCTGTAATTCAGACTCAAAAAAAACTCCCTCATTCCCAAACATGCATCTTCCTTAATATTCACTCAGAAAATTTCAAAAAAAACTTCTATTTACCTACATGCTCATGGGAATTATATTTGGAAAATAACCTCCAAAAAAAAACTAAATACTTAAAATTTTTATCGCTATTTTATTATTTCCTAATTGCGAAGCACATTATGCTATGTATGAACAGTGGGATACAAATATAAAATTTTATTTCCAATACAAAAAAAAAAAAATTTTATGAACACAAAACAAGTGCCAATTAGGGGGTATCCCAATTAAAAGAAAAAAAAAATTTAATTTCTCATTTCTTCAATTGCTTCCTCTCAAAAAAAAAAAAAAAAAAAAAAAAAAACAAACAAGAGTTTGACTTCCACTGTTCATTGTTTTCTACTTTTGAGTAAAAAAAAAATTTGATTACACACACACACACAAACACACATATGTGTATATTTATACATTTAAAAAAAACCATATCAGTCAAATGCAATAAACTGGGTCACATAATAACGTCCATAGGAACAAAAGAAATCAGTGGGTGGATGGGGATGGAGTGAAAGAGATAGGAAAGTCGCTAAACCAAAAAAAATTTGAACCAGAATGCTAGTTAGGAACAAAACCCTGTTATCAAACAGGACATACCCCATCAATGTAGCTTAGCTCCAGGTGCTTTTATTGTTTTGGCATCTAATCAATCCTGTCACCATACTTTGGTTACCGTCTCAAGGCAAATCATTTGATAAGCTTATTTAATAGCCATCACCTCTATTCAAGGAGCGCCTCCTACAATCATATTTAGAAGTTTCCAGGATTACTCTGAAATTCTTCAAAATTCCATCTTAGAATTTCTAGTGATATCCATTTATCCTTTAAATTATAGATTAATCCCATGAAAGTCTCTTTTCTTAAATTTTGCAAATTACTTAATAAATGTTAAAAAAAATCCAAATACAACCTCTTAAAAATAGGCAAACAAGCTGGCAAAAATAGTATAAAAAAAAAGAATTAGAAAATCCAAGAGTGACAGGGTAAATAATTCATCAAACTGAATATAAAAAAAAAGAGAAGCAAAAAAAAATTTAAATACAAGTAGACACAAGTTTTTATTTCTGAAAATGTTTATGGGGCATGACTGCTCTTCATCCCTTCCTTTTAACACTGACTTTCCATGAAAAAAAAATTTGTACTCAAGAGCTAGCTGCCGTTCTTTACCTGGTGATCCAAACTAAAAAAAAAAACCAGTCATGAGAGTTCTTGAAATTTGTCTATCAGCATGTACCATTTAGCTAAAAAAAAAGATGACTGAAGTATTTTACATGCATTATCTCATTTTTACCTCAAAATATCCCAATAAGGTAAATACTAGTTACACAAAAATCTTGGAAATATTTACACATACAATTTTCAAAAAAAAACTATTCTCGATTTTCATAGGTGATATGGTTTGGCTGTGTTCCCACCCAAATAAAAAAAAGAATTGTAACTCCCACAATTCCTATGTGTCATGAGAGGCACCCAGTGGGAGGTAATTGAATCATGGGGGTGGGTCTTTCTCATGCTGTCTTCATGATAGTGAATAAGTCTCACAGGTCTGATGGTTTTATAAAGAAGAGGTCCTCTGCACAAGTTCCCTGTTTTTGCCTGCGGCCATCCATGTAAGATGTGACTTTGCTCCTCTTTGCCTTCTGCCATGATTTTGAGAAAAAAAAAGTCATGTGGAACTGTGGACCAATTAAACCTCTTTTCTTTCTAAATTATCCATTCTTCGGTATGTCTTTATCAACAGTGTGAAAACAGACTAATACAATAGGTATGTTCCTAAAAAAAAGGTGATGCAACATATATTGATAAACAAGTTTTCTCTTTAAATATTATCATTAAAAAAAATTTAAAATGTAATGTTAAATAATTTTAATGTAAGTTCATTTTAATTTCATGAAAAAAAACAATGCATTACTTTCTTGGAAATAAGAAGTAATTAATTTTACTTTAAAATCAAAAAAAAATCTAAAATTATGTTAGAAAAATAACCCATCAAATCTGAATACATTAATTAACAACATCGTAATGTCTAACATAATAATCGGCTGAGGATAAGTCATAGAAGTTATGGGGTAAGTTGATTGATTAAATTGATCTGAAATTATCTGTTCATTACCACACTACATCTTTGAAAAAAAAACATGTAAACCTTCATAATGATAATGAAGCATATAACACCACACTATACATAAAAAAAAAGTTTGACAAAATTTGAGGTGTTTACTCATAAGATACTAAAGTTTGACTATGAAAAAAAATATAGTTTAGAAAACTGTATTCAACTGCATGTTTATCAATAATTGAATCTGAAAAAAAAAACTAATCTAAAATGTGAGTATTCCTTTGAGTGCATGTATATTTATGATTTAAAAAAAATTTATATATGCATACATTTGAATATTTAAATAATTATTTAAATATAATTTGAAAAAAAAGCACAATGTCTATGAGTAATTAAATACTGAAAAAATCTTTTAAAATAATTTTAGGAAAATATTGCAAGTATAATCACAGTGAGAAAGAGCTATTATTATAACTTCTTGGGTTTTAAAAATGTTTCAAATATTCAAAACACTTGAATGTATTTTATCCCTGCAGTAAATCAAAAAAAATAAAAATTTAAGAACAAAATTTATTTTGAAAACTTTAGTAAATTTTTATTTAAAAAAAAAGCTCTAGGATTTCTGAAGAAGCCATGTGAATCTTGTTGTAAGTAAAAAGCATTTAATTTAATAAAGACTCCAGTAGGCTTTGTTAGAAATGACATATCTGAGACATATCATGGAACCTTTGTCTCAGTTCATTGCTGTACATTGGTGTTTATTTGTAATGTGTTGGTGAAAAAAAAGGGAGGCATTAGAATGCGAAACAACATAAGTAAGTATCTTAAATATTTCTCACTGTTCTTTAAGAATGAAAATAGGTCTTTCTTAGCCGGGTGTGGTAGCAGGCACCTGTAAAAAAAACTACTAGGGTGGCTGAGGCAGGAGAATCTCTTGAACCCGGGAGGTGGAGGTAAAAAAAAGTGGAGATCACGCCACTGCACTCCAGAATGGGTGACAGAGTGAAACTCCATAAAAAAAAAAAAAAAAAAGAAAGAAAGAAAGAAAAAGAAAAAAGAAAATAAGACCGGGTAAAAAAAATCACGCCTGTAATCCCAGCACTTTAGGAGACCGAGGCGGGAGGATCATGAGGTCAGAAGATTTAGACCATCCTGGTCAACACTGTGAAACCAGTCTCTACTAAAAATACAAAAAATCAGCCAGGCGTGGTGGTGGGCGCCTGTAATCCCAGCTGCACGGGAGGCTGAGAAAAAAAAATGGCGTGAACCCAGGAGGTGGAACTTGCAGTGAGCCCAGATTGCGCCACTGAAAAAAAACCTGGACCACAGTGCAAGACTCTGTCTCAAAAAAAAAAAAAAAAAAAAAGAAAAAAAAATGGTCTTTCCATAGATTTAAACTTTCTGAGAAGTCATTTTGTTTCCATGTTAAAAAAAACAAAATAACTTAAATACTGAATTTTAAAAAATCAAGAAAAACGTAAAATATAAAAAAAACCCAGGATATGTATTTTCTTTATGGAAGTGTGCAGGTTCATAGAATTGATAAAAAAAAAAATCAGATGATTGTAAGGAGACATGAGGTAAGAAACTCTTTTAGGTTTATAAAAAAAAATACTCACTAATGCAACAGCATCTCCTTAAATTAGGCATGCAATGTTAATGAAAAAAAAAACCATAACTGAAAGAAACTAGAAGAGATTAAAAGTGAATCACTTCTCAAAAAAAAAAAAGGTGTACTGAAATTGCCTAATGAAAACATGAACATTAAAATAAAGAATTAGAAAAAAAAGTGGCTCATGCTTGCAATCCCAACACTTTGGGAGGCCGAGGAGGGTGGATGAAAAAAAATTCTGGGTTGAAGGCCACACTGGACAACATGGTAAAGCACTATCTCTACCCAAAAAGATTCAAAAACTAGCTAGGCATGGTGGTGTGGGTCTGTGGTCCCAGTTATTCCAGAGGTGGAGGTAGGAGGATCTCTTGAGCCTGGAAGGCATAGGATGAAGTGAGCCCAGATAAAAAAAATGCACTCCAGCCTGTGGAACAGGAGAATATGTCTTAAAAAAAAAAAAAGGAAAAAAAAAAAATATATAAATTATAAACGTAATTTATAAGAAACAAATTTATATAGGCCTAAAAAAAAAAGACCTCTACAGTTGCTCCCAAATAGAATAACAATTTCTAATTTCCTGAGTATCTTTTTAATACATCAAATTATTTTTAATTGTCTAAACATGAAAATGGCTAATTTTTCCCACAGTGTTTTGTGTGAGGCTGTGTTTCAACAGACTATCACAAGAAGTTGCTTTATTAAAAAAAATTTCAAATCATTGATATGCATGTTCAAAGGATTGTTCTAGCAAAGTATAAAAAAAAAAAACTGATAGTGAAAACTATGTATTTTTCAATAACAAAATACAAAGTAAAAAAAAAAAAAATACAGAAGCAACCTATGTATTTCTAAATCTTTCGAACATTTAATGAAAGTGAAAAAAAATCTTCTGTATAAGGTAAAATAGAAAAAAAAAAAAAAACAACAGCTAGTCATAAAAAAAATTTAAGAATATAGGAGAGAAATTTGTCTTTTATCTACTTCATGCTTGTATCAAAAAAAATAACTCAAAATACTATGACAGGAGGGAATAGTAATTGTCATATGGCTCCCAAAAAAAAATAATAAGGAAGTACATATAATTGGTACTGTTGGCACCAATCCTATAATT